AAATAACTAGCTGGGAATAAGGAGACTGAATCTCCATCTGAGCACCCACCAGGCTTGCAGAATGGTCATTGAAGAGCAGAGTCCAGGGGCTGTGGGGGAGATCGGCAACTGGAAAAGTGAGAAACGCACGTGGAACCACCGAAAACACCTTCCTGGAATGTGTCATTGTATCCCTGTCTCCTCTCTGCAGCTATCTTTGTACAACCCAGAGCCAGGGAATCTACTCATGGCTTTGAAAATGAACACTCACTTTGGAGAGGCAGCTAATATGTTCTTATTTGTAAGGTGGGAAAGTAAATACCCATCTGACTCGCTAACACAGGAGTTTGGGGGATCTAATTAGGTGGTCAAAAAGCACTACTCTTAAAAAATTTAAAACATTTTACAAATGTGAGGTAAGATTTCGTAGAATGTTAAAAACTTGAAAAAAAACAGACCAAGCCTATACAATCAAATGTTATAAAAACCTGAATATGCCAAAATATTTTAAATTGCCAATTGTCAACTAATTGTTATGGGTAAAATTTGTTATAATGGATCTTGATCTGTAACTCTCCCTTTCCTTTTAGATTTTCTTTTAAGGCATTTTGTTGTTGTTGCTTGTCTTTGGAATGAGCAGAACCCATATTTTGTGACAATGAAAGTATGAGGGATGACATGGAAAATAGGTTCCAAAGGGAAGAGGGATTGTTTGATTGGAAGAGGAAGGGAAAGGGGAGTTGGAGATTTCAATCCATTTCCTCCATGTTGGGGGAAAGCAGGTAAAAGGCAGTGAGATTAATGACGGGGGGCTTTTAGTTGGACTTTGGAAGAATGCTTGGCCTACCTGGCCACCAAGGATAGAGGAGACGCAGGAAATAACCGTGAGGGGCAGGATAACACAGCTGCCCCCAGGGCGTGGCAGGGCAGACCTGTTCCTGAAGACCTAGGCCGAGTGTGGGCAGGGACTGCAGCAGGGGGCCGTCAGGCAGAAGGAACTGGCTGGTTTTAGAGAGAACAAAGCAAAAGCAGGTGGGAGATGACAGGTGGGTGGTAAGCTCCCGGGGGGCAGGGACCAGGGGTGACTCTTCTTTTGTACCCCTGCGGCTGCCCTGGCTTGCTAGCTGGGCGTCCAGCAAGGCCTCCGGAAGGCGTGCTAATGGCTGCTTTTCCTCACCTGTCCCCAGGGCCTCAGACAAGCTCTTCATCCTGGACCAGTGTGAGAGGTACCGGCGTTGCAAGCAGTGCCAGCGGAGCACCTCCAACAGGGGGGACAGCCACTTGTGGCCAATGAACAAGTACCTGCACGGCTCCCGGCTGTTTGTGTGAAACTCAGAGTTTGGACCTGCGTTTCTGGGCGAAAGTTTTTATTTTTGTAATGTTTGAAAAAGTGCATTGCGCGATTTTGGTGCTTTCAGGAGCAGCTTGCTTTTTAACCGCTTACTGAGCTCCTGTAGGCAGGGTCTCCCCTCCTGTCTCCCTCCCATCCCCACGGACCTGCTGCCGATGGAGCTGGGATGGGACTCGCTTCATTCTGCTGTGGGCGTGCCGCTGGCCCAGCCCTGCCACTCCCCCTGTGACTGTGTGACACACGGTGTCTTTTCTTTATCTGTAATGAATAATGAATAATAAATATTTTCTATATGCCTGACTGGTCTAAACATTCATATTGGTAAATATTTTTAAAAATATGTTTTTATTGATTTTTGTGTATTAACCTTGCATCTTATGATTTTTCTAAACTCATTTATTGGAGGGGGAGGAGAGGGAGGGAGGAAGGGAGAGATTGGGAGAGGGAGGCAGGCACTATTCTATTCTTTGGCATTTCCTACATACAGGACTATGTCATCTGTGAATAAAGGCAGTTTTATTTACTCTTCCTTTTCGATCTGGATGCCTTTCTTTTTTTTTTTTCTTCATTGAACTGGCTAGACCTTACATGTTGACTGGAAATGGTAAAAAAAAAATGCTTGCCTTGCTCCAGATCTTAGGGAGAAAGTATTCATTCTTTCACCGTTAAGTATGACATTAGACTTTGGTTCTTCATCAGGCGAGAATGTTCTCTTCTATCCCTAGTGTGTTAAAAGTTTTATCATAAACATGTGTTGTATTTTTTCAAATGCTTTTCACACACCCATTGACATGATGTTATGGTTTTTGTCCATTTCATTAATATCGTATATTCCGATGATCAATTTTTATATGTTAAAACGACTTTGCATTCCTGGGATCAATCCCATTTGTTCCTTGTGTGTAATTCTTTTATGTTGATGGAGTTGGTTTGTTAATATTTTGTTTAGGGTTTTGCATCTATATTCGTGAAGGATGTTGGTCTGCAGTTTTCTTTTCTTGTGTTGTCTTTATCTGGTTCTAGTAGGGTAATATCAATATCACAGAGTGATTTGGAAAATGTTTCCTCCTCTATTTCCTGAAAGAGTTTGTGAAGGATTGGTATTATTTCTACTTTAAGTATTTGATAAAATTCACCAGTAAAGGCATCCAGGCCTGAGCTCTTCTTGGTGGGAGGGCTCTAATTACTAATTCAATTTCTTTTTATGGATCTGTCAATTTCTAGTCTTTGCTTGCTTTGGATTTTGTTTTGTTTTCTTTTTTAAAAAAGTTGTTTTGAGGAAGTTTATGTTATTGCTTTGAAACCTTCCTTTTTTTCCTGATATAGGCACTATAAAATTTCCTTCTAAGCACTTCTTAAATTACAACTCATTAATTCATATTTTTTTTCATTCAATTCAACATATAATAACTTACTTTGTGATTTCTTCTTTCAACCATGGGTTATTTAGAAACATATTGTTTAATTTCCAAATAATTGAAAACATCCCACTTTTTCCTGTTGTTAATTTCTAATTTATTAATTCTGCCTAAGAAGACTTTAGAGAGTCAATTGCATTTGAACTCCAAGGATGATGATGTCTTCAGGTAGAAAGCTGGGGTGGACTGAAATTTAATTGCTCGAGGGCAGAGAAGCAGAGGGAAGGAATTTCTAGATGGATACCAAGCACGCATAAGGGCACAGGCCTGGAAGTAGGCGAGTTCAGTGCCAGAAAGATGTTCAGTGGGGTTGGAACAAAGGAAATGTAATTTGTCTCTGCTTTTTGTCTCAGATAGTATAGCTAAAGTTTGTTAATTTAGTTTGTTTTCAAAGAACCTGTTTTTGTTTCATCAGTTTTCTGTACTATTTTTCTTTATTACATGGAGTATAACATAAGTGGAGTTGGGGTACAGAGGAAGCTGTGGAGCAGGATGTAGAAAAGACAGTAATCAAGGTTCCCTGGTGTTCAGATTCCAGCTTCACTCTTCCAGCCCTCTCCTGAAGTTTCTCATTCTCGATGAGCCCAGGGATTGTAGAACAGGAATGTTTTCTCAGGATATTCCTGGCTGAGCACCAGCACCAAGGAAGCAGATGTTAGAAGAATAACACCTGGGCGAGGGGTCACTGGTGTCTCTGCTAATTACTCCTCTAGGAGTCTACAGTCCACCGAGCCTGTCACTGAGAGGTGGCCACGTAGGACCCACTCACTGTAGGCAACGGGTGGGCAGTGGTAGGTCCCCAAGTATGGTTCATTGTTTCCTTTGTCCTACAGTGAAGTTGGAGGTTGGAAGCTACCACCCCAATAGGTCATAGCAATTCAGCAGCCTCTGATTGCCGGGGCCGCAGGCCCCTCCACCACCCCATGGTGGGCTCTGATGACCATGAGGGAGGTGAAGGCTATGGTTGAACTTGGTCTAAGAAACACGCAGGACAGACTGACACCATTCTATAAGAAAACTGCTTGGCTTGCTGAATTACTTAAGAGAGTGAAGGAGGGTGGAAGAGAGAGTGTTCTAAAGCCAGGAAAACGAAATCACATCTTTCCCAGAACTCCCCAAGGTGCTGTTCCCCTCAGGACCTCTCCCTCCTTTCTCCATGGCCTGCTGACCCTCCCCGCCCACATTTCTCTGGTTTTCCTTTTAGTAATAACCAAAAAGGAATGTGACTAATACTCCATAACCCACAGGGCAGTGACGATTTCTGACGAGTTAGGGATCTGCCTCCAGCCAGTCAGCCCCCGCACCCATCCGAGACTCGAAGGGTGTGCATTCCTCCAAGAGACTGAGCTTGCCGAGGGCTGGGCCATGCTTCCTGGCCAGTGGCTGCCCTCGCAGTCCACATTTCCCAACCACTCCTACCTGTCCTTCGCTCTTGGGACTTGATGCAGACACGGCTACAACCTTGTCTCCCATCCTCATAGGAAGAATCCTATCCCTTCCTTGAGCACCCTTGACCTTTACCTGTACTTCTTTCGTGGACTTACCACTTTCTCCTTTGTGGCAAAATGAATTGTGTTCATATGTCATCTCTTCCACTAGGCCTTGAGCTCTGAAAGGCAGAGCTCTAGGCAGGATTCTAGATTTCCCACCAGGGCTAGCCAGTAGTGGCTATTAACAGATAAGGAAATTCTTCGGAAGGAGATCAGAGGAGGGTTATAGAAAAGTGAAGTCAGGGCCTTCAGGGACAAGGCTCTGATTCATTGTATGCCTGGGCATCTCCACTCACCCCAGGAAGTTCAAAGGAAAAACACAGTGACAAGAATGGCTGTTTTGGAATCCATTTATATTGTCAGTGTTACTTTACGCTGGGCTTCATCCAGCCGCACACCAGCCTCTGGGACTACATCAGACCGTCTGAACATTCATGGCTTCCTTGGGCCATGTGTAGCTGTCCAGTGTAAAGGAGTCATAGTCTGGAGTGTAGATCAGGGATCTTACAAACGCCTCCTTGTCCTTGGGCTCTGGGTAGTAGGAGGCCAGGTTGTGTTTGTACGCGAAGTCAAGAACCTAGGGAAAAACATGCTTGGCTGAGGAACTGGGTCGAAGGAGAAACCTGCCTCAGGGCCCTTGTTTGGGAGCCTGTGGAAGGGCGTATACCCTGAAGAGCTAGAGGTGTGCCTCTCGTGAGCTGGGGCCCATGAAGCCACTGGATGGGAAGGATGATGTGCTTCCTGCCCACATAGGAAGCTGTGACTTAGTGGAATAAACACTGGGCCAGGCTCAATAAATCTCAGACTAAAGCCTGTCTCTACTTCTAACTTCCTGTGGGTCCTCAGCAGTGACATTATCCTTGGGGAGCCTCAGTTTCCTCACCTGGAAAGTGGGGGTAATGAAACCTTTCTCTAGAGTGGTGTCAGGATAAAGTTAGGTAACAGGCAAAAATGTTCGTTGCCTGATACTGCCCCCCTTCATAGGTTGAATTGGAAGAACAGCTTGGGCATTGCTCTCTGGGTATTAGATTTGGCTTCAGAAGAGCATTGTTGGTTGAAATATCACCCAAAGGAAGGAACTGGACAAAGGGCAACTGGACTCTGAGCTGGAGTGTTGGTCTTGAGGGTTGGCTCTGGATCCTGAACTGGACAACTCATGGGGAGTGATGCTGTTGTGCAATGCATTTTATGAAATTATTTAAAAAACTGATTATGAAAAATGTAAAATATGTATACTAAAAGAAGTAATAGTATAATAATCCTCATATATTCATCATCCAGATTCAATAATTAACAGTGTTGGGCCAGTTTTCATTGCACCATGTTCTGATTCTTTGAAAACCTATCATCTCTGCATGGTCTCTAGGAGGGGATTTTCCTTAGAATGAAACTGACCAGCCCATGGCCCAGTCATTCTGAGAGAAAGGAGAGGAATGGGCATCTACTCTGGCCAGAAAGGCAGTGAGTGTGAAATTCTATTTTAAACTTTTCCAGAAACTCTGGGAGAGAGGAAATACTGTCCCCTTTGGAAAAAGAGGAAACTGAGACAGGGAAGTGAAGTGATTGGCCCCAGGTGACTCTGTTGCTGATTGGCAGAGCTGGGACCCCGCAGCTCGAGCTCTTTCCACGGTGCTATGAAAGTTGACCTTTCTGTATAAATGGGCACTTATGATTCATTTAAAAGAAATGCCACCCACATTCCGGTCCACAGAATTGGACTTTGATGACCTTTCTGCCTGGTGTTTGAGGGGAAATTCAGCACTATTCCCAGAATTGCCTGAGTGGGCGCTGGGGGTGGGGCTCGAGCTGCAGGCAGGAGTTTGTCTCGGAGCCTCTGGGTCGTATGCAGTGCAGCCCGAGGAGCTCAGGATGCTGCCCCAGCTGCCACCCTCTCAGCCCTCCTGAGGTCACAGATGAGCCCCACTGCCCGTATTATAGGGGGTCGAATTCTCCTTACTTTGATGGCGATTCTCAGAGACACATCTCGGATGGTGCTGAGAGGTGGGTATAGCCTCCCCTGGGACAGATGCTGCTCAGAGACCTCCTGCGCAATTTTCTGGAGAAAGAACCATGAGGAAGGAAGCAGCTCAGTACCCGCCTCCCCAGAACAAGCCCAACCCATTACCCCAAAGACTCTCCTCACCCCTCACACACCTGTCAGTCCCTGTGTTGTCTCCCACTGTGGTCTCTGCCATCACGTGGCCTTGTGAGAGCTCAATGCTTGGGCTTACCCAAGGACACATCCTTTCTGTACTGTGAGACGCTGAGGCGTTAAGCAACCCGAGGCTCTCTGAATTCTAAAGGGAAATCACTAAGAGCAAGATGAATAACCTCGTGGCTTGCAAAGCAGACTCTGGGGTCTCCCCGTGGCTGGTCTAGCCTATTGTGTGGG